TTGTTGTTGTTGTTTTTTAAATTAAAGAAAGAGTTCTTTCCTAGGTAATTTGTTTTCCACTTTATCAAACACTGGGTTACTAAGTTCAATTATTTTTTATTCTCCATTGCCTAATCTGTTTCATTGGTCTTGTCTATTTTTAAAAACCAGTATTAGATGGTACTGGTGGCTGAGGTCTAAGTGCTATTCCCTTCATCCTTACATCTTTGGAAAATTCTAGAGAATCAGAAAAGATGCTAATGGAGACAATTAGTAGCTTTAGCAGAGTTGCAGACTACAAAATAAATACTAAAAAATCAACAGCATTTCTTTATGATAATAAAATCCAAGAAGCAAAAATAGGGAAATCTTTTTCCAAATAACTACAAAATAAAATGTCTGAAGATCAGTCTACAAAACACACAAAAGACTCGCACAGATTCAACTACAAACTGGCCCTTAACGAAATTATCACTTGGACAGTTAGAGTATTCAGTGCTCGTGGTATGACAATAAGAAATGTGTATTGACTGATGTATGATACCATGAATCTCTATCATATACAGCTTTAGTTTTGCGTTGTTTTAGTATATTCAAGTGGATCCGTGATTGCATCCATTCCAGAGCTCCCACCAGCAGTGCAGATTTCAACCCCATCCATAGTTGTGCACCCTGTGCTACTCTTCTACTTGTTTCTTTAAAAGGCCATCCTGACAGGGGGTTGTGTTATACACTTTGGTTAACTTGGTAGTTCCAACATTGCCCTGCTTGTGTATTCTCTTCTGGGCTTCTTTCTGCTCTCTCCTATTAAAAAAAAAGTCTCAGTAATGCTTTTTTAAAAAAAAAAAAATTTACTATCACTTCCCACTGTAAGTCCTCTCCCCCTTGTAACAAATAAGTATAGGCAAGTAAAAGAAATGTACACATTAGCCATGTCTGATTCTATACCTTTAGTCCATCGTTTCTCTGCCAAAATATGGTTCATCATCAGTCTTCTAGAATTTGGATTGATCCAAACAGTTGTTTTCCTTCACAACATTGTTCTCCTGGTTCTGCTAATTCCTTCAGAATTTGTTCAGTAAAATTCTGTCCCTTTCAACATAGTCCATAGCATTCATAAACTATAATTTTTTCAGCTGTTCTTGGAAATGAGTGCCAATTATTTGGGAAGTGATAAGCAAATGGGATAAGGGAATATAATGGAATATTATAAGAAATGATGAAAATGTTTGATGCAAAGAAACCTGGGAAACATGTATTAACTGATCCATAATGCAGTGAGAAAAGGGCAATTTATATAATAACTGCTATGATGTAACAGAAAATTACTTTGAAAAATTTAAGAACCACATTCAAAGCAATGACTAGGAGATAGATGATGAAATATATACTGCCACCCTCTTAACAAGGAGAGGAATAAACTAGGTTTGTAAAATGAGATGTGTATTTTCACACATGGTCAATGTGAGGATTTGACTTGACTATACTATAGTTAAAAGGAATGGCTCATCTCTTTGAGGATGGGGTTTGTAGGGGGAAGAGGCTGGTGGGTAATGATAGTGATGTGAAAAAAAAGAAACAATAGTATTAATACAAAAATTTTTAAATGCACACTGAAGAAAGCAGAAGGAAAACACATATAAACAGGTAAGTTTTCTATTCCTGTTAAGTGAAATTTAATATATACTTTAAAAAACTGTACTTGATAGAAAGTTTCATATACAAACCTTTCTATTCTTTATGCATTGAAATGGTCATGTGTATTGCTTTTCAAGTAGATAATGAAAACAGAAAATGTAAGTTAAAAAAACCTTGTGCTCATGATTATGCTGTGTCCAAATAGCAATTATGAAACTACCCAACTTAATTTACTTATTTAGTGCTAGACTAATAAGTAACAAGGAGAAACCTTACAGAGTTGGACAAAGTAATGGAATTTATTTGGAGGAACAAAAAAAAAATCTACAATCTGAAGAGAAATAATGAAAAATTACTCCTCAAAATGAAGCATTACCAACCTTTAAGCTACATTATACAATAGTAATAATCAAAATTATTTGATATTGATTAAAACATAGAAAAAGTATATTAAGGGAGCAGATAGACAAACAAGAAACAAAATGAATAAAAAATGGTAATTTGATAAATTCATAAATGTACCTTTCTGGTGGGGGGAGGGAACTCCACATTTAGCAAGAATTGCTGGTAAAATTAAGCTTTGAAGAAAATTGGTTTAAACCAGCATCTTATAACATACAACACAATAAGCTCAAAATGCATATATAATAGAACATTAAAGGTCACACAAAAAAAATGGAAGGGGGTATGTTCCAAGACTATCTCTAGAGAAAAGGGAATAAAAGAATGAATTAAAAAAAAAAAACTCATTGAGCACTTATTATGTGTAAACATCTGGGCACTGTGTTAAACCAGGGGACAGTTCTTGCTCTCAAAAAGAACACACTCTAATTGGGGGAGACAACATATATAAGAAAATTCAGCTTCATGATAGATGGAAAGACTTTGAAATCTTAAGGGTTCACATCACAGAGAACGGTAAGTTGAATCCTTTGGCTACTTTAGCGGGTCAAATGATAGGGACTGACAGATGTCAGAAGGATGTAGAGATAGGGCAGAGAGCAAAACCTAACGTTTAGGGTTAGACACAGAATTGGTGACTCCCATCTTATTCAAGCTCTGTGAGCAGTCAAGGTGGGAGAAATATGGGGAGTGATGCTTCTAATGTTGGTGGGCTTTTCCATTACCTAGCCATCTCAGATAGGTTCTGACCTGTAGCTGGGGCATAAGGGCAAGGGAGAATTGAAAAAAGGCTAGAAGACAAAAGACAATTTGTTTTACGCAAATAAAATCAATGCCTGGAGAATAAGAGGAGAAAGTGGTGAGTGAAAAATATGACTATCAAATATTAGTGAAATTCTGATATCTAAGTAGGAAACTGACATAAATGAAGGCCAAGAGCCATTTTCCAGAGATAAATGATCGAAAGATGTTGTCTTCAGAAGTATCAATAAACAAATGAAATCATTCAGTCACTATGAAAACTGCAAATTAAACTGATGAAATTTCACGTCACATCCAGAAAATTGGCAAAGATGACAGAAACCTTGGTCACCACTGGAGGGGTTGCAAGAAGTTAGGCACACGAAATCACCTGCTGGCAAAACTGTGAATTGGTCACAGACGTTAAATTAAGCTCAACAAATCTTTTGTGTCATCTCTCTATGGAGATACTGCTCTGGAAAAAAATATTACAGTTCAATTCTGGGGGAGAATTTCATGCATTAGAAATAAAAATTCCATTCACATTTGTAATTAAAGTGCTCTGGAAATTCTATACTATTACGTGGCTGTGATTCCTAACCTAGTAATTCCTTTGCTCAGTTCCCACCTTGAGTAATTATCTGGTCATTGGAACATATTCTTGAAATACCAGAAAGATGTTATCCACAACTCAACAGATTCTAGGATGACCCAGAGGAAGAAAATTGTTCACATCCATGACACTGAAGGAAAAGGAAAGAGGATGAAGGGCAGGAAAGGCTTGTTGCCATATGTAAGATGGATTCAGGAGAGGCAAAGGATTTTGAATTTTGTCCTTAATAATTCACAATCAAGTAAGGACAAAGTTAATAACAGACAAAATATCAAATATAAAAATGAAAAAAGGCAAAGGACCTGCCCTAAAAAAATATGTTCCAAAGCAGAGGTGGCCAAGAGGCCCATGACACTCCCAAGTGCCAGCGTGATCCAGATAAAAATACATTACGTTTTAAAACTAAGTCAACATGCAGCCCCTGCAGGGATCCTTGTGTACAGAACAATGGTCCCCAACTTCTATTTTAGTTTGGCACTACCATTCTAAAGTGTATATTAAACAAGGGTATACAAAGAATGGAATGGAAAAGCACTTAGGATGGTCAAGAACTGTGCTGAGATGGATACACACAGAAAAGCAGGACAGCCTTGTCTCAAGGAAATTAGGGGAGGACAACACATACACATACACACACACACACACACACACACACACACACACACACCCCACCCCCCCCATCCATCCACACACAGTATCACCATCACAGGTGACAAAGGACTAGCAGTCCTTAGAGAGCAGTGGTGGGACAGATGGTAAGGCTTTGTGGCGGTTCACCATATTATCATGACTGCAGCTGGTGACAGTGACTTCTTGATCACCTAAGTATTAACAGTCATGTCCTTCACCAATGACTTGTAGGAAAAGAGTAGGGGGCACCAGGATTGGAGTGCAACAAGGACGTGCATCATCTCCCCTGGATGCAGGGAAAAGTCTTTGACAGGCTCCCTGTGAGACTTACTCCTGGTAGGCTCCTTTATTACCACTTTGAACCAGCTGACCTATTCTTGCTTCATAATGAACAGGTAAAATGACAAAAATGCACTTTCAAATTTGAAACCTGAACAATGCAAAAAAAAAAAAAAATTACTCCCCCAATTTTTCCTCATTCATATTTATCACATGACTTCCTAAGGCAAAGTCTATAGAATTAGATGAAGAGAATAGAATACAGAATCCAGAAAAAGTAGATTTCTTTTAAATATATTTCCTACTCAAATTTATTAATTTATAATGTTTTATCTCTCCCTCTACCTTGTCATCCCTTGTTACTTCCTAAAAAATATGGACTCTTTATCCCTGTATCCTCAGGGTTTATCATAGCAGGTAATAATTGCGGCGTTTGACTGAATCATGACCAAATCACAGCCTCTCGGGCCTGAATTTACTCATTTTTAAAATGGAAATCTGCCTGTGGTACTTATATCACAGAGCTGTTCTAAGGACTAAATGAATTAAATTATGTAGAATGCTTTTTATACACAAACATGAGCTATTATTCTATCCTGCAGCAGCACTTAGTATTCCATGACAAAATGCCGAAAGGATCATTTTGGGAATATAAACTCTTAAGTAGGATCTAAATTTAATAAAATACAACATTTAAATACATATAAAGTTTATTAAAAATAGGTTGCAAGTGAAATACAGTAGAAATGGGAAACTACAGCAGTTTTGATGCTTTTTTCCATGATAATACATAAACAATTATGAAAAGCACTTTTACATATATATTCACATTTTATTAGATGGCCCAATGATGGCCAAATCCACTTTTGATTAAATCATTTATGGTCTCCAGATAAATACATACTTACATATAATCTTATCATTATATTATAGTATGTATAAATAGACATTTACATGGTGGTTTTGTTGTTATTTCCACTAATCTTTTTTTAGATACTGGGAAGAAAAATGTTAATTCATCCATAGCATTAATTTTTCCTTAAAGAAAAGTGCTGAATTTTAGTCACTGTAAGGCTGCTAGTGTTCTCAAGATATTTTGGGAGGGGCTTGCTTTTCCTGATTTTTCAGACAGGATAAGCATGCAAATCCTTCATAAACACTCTGAACCAGTTTATTTTCTTACTTCATATTGAACAGTTGAAATGGCAAAAGCACACTTTAAAATAAGAAACTGAAAGATGTAAAAAATATTTACACCCAAATTTTTCATTCATTTTTATTTATCATACAACTCTTATTAAGAAAAGTGATTTATCTTCTAAGGCAGTGAAAATCTCTACCCTTTAAATATGGAAGTGTGCATTTCCCCAATATATATTTATAAGAGAACAATATGGTACAGAAAAAATCATATAAAACCCACAACAGGGTTTTGTCATATAGAAAATTTGTTTGGAATCACAACAATATATATCATTTTAACATCACACATTGAAAAACAAACTCCTTATCCCCAACATCAGCCATATATCCCATAGCTGAAGAAATGACAGTGATGAAATACAATTTAAAATTAAATAAGGCTATCATAGTGTGAAAAAATAGCTTGAACTGCCAAAATCTGTCTTATTTTTGTTTTTACAATACATAAAATAATGTAAGAGGACACTACAGGTGCCAGACATGAAGACAATTTACTTAAAATTTCTTCCTTCTTGGTATATGTGATGGTTTTCTAGAAACACAAAATAAATCCATTTCATTTACATAAATTTTACTATTCTAACAATAGTTGGTATATGAAATTTTACACTTTAAACTTCCCTTCTTCTCGTTCACTTTATTCCTAGCCACAGAGGAAGCACACTGATGCTTGTCATTTATTATATATCCTGCATTCACTTAAAAACTTGAAAAAATTTTGGTCCTAAGCTATGAGAACACCATGACAGCAACTTACTATCTCTTGCTTCTTATTCCAAAACTATTCTAACATTTAAAAAAAATAAAGCTAAAAACAAAATATTCCAAGTGATTATTGCCACAACTTTCTTATTTCTGGATTTCACTTGTAAATAAAATACTTTGTATACATCAGGGGGCATTTGCTTTGACATGAGGTGTAATGATTTCTCAGGTGTGCATTCATTTTGCTTAAAATAACTTTAAGTCAAAATTGCTTAATTTTAAATTACTATACAGAGAATAATGACTATTAAGAACTAAGAGTGCCCTAGTTAGTGTCCTTTAGACACAACCAAGGGGATATGCTGGTTAGCAGCTCATAAATAGCATGTGATATACATTAAACACTAGTATGTTGTCTCTTCTGAGATAAAATCAAATTAGAGACAAATTCTCCTGTAAAACAATGTATAAGCCTCAACAGATAGTGCACAGAATAATTTGGGCAGTTCAAGCTATCTTCTCTTTCCTCTGCTCAGCAGCTAAAACAAAGTGTTGTGAAAGACCAAGAAATATAACTTCTGACATATGCTACATGTTCAGTTACAGAAGAGGGTAGGGTGAAGAAAAATTCCCTCTTAAAAAAAAAAAGATAGTTACCTTCATGTGATTCCTATCATTAAAATAGAATTTTACAGTGCTTTTATAGTAGAAACCACAGGGTTCTTGGTAAATAATCAATCTTCCATGTATTGCAACATCTCTAATTCTCAATTAACAGTTTAAGAAACAGAGGAATCACAAAATTAATTTACAAAAAACAAGACCCCTCTCCTTCCCACTCCTGTAAATCCTATATACTTGGAGAACCTCCAGCTAAATCCAATAAGGTGCCTGCCTCCCCCCCCTCTCCTCTTACTACCCCTTTCCTCTTATTTTGTATTCAGTTCATTTTCCAGTTCCGTTAATTTCCTAGAAGCCTTTACTTTATTGGATACATCTTGGCCCTGAGAAAAGAGACGCTGACGTTCCTTGAATGTCAAATTTTCAGGGGCTCCAGAAACTCCAGGTAAATCTGCATCTTGGCTAAAAATGAAGAAAAATAATATTAAGCCTCAGGTACCACTTATCAAAATGATTCAGTTCTTAATACTACTGGTAAGAATTTAAATTCTGGGAGACCAAGTGGAATTTCAAGGAGGCAGAACTTTGATTTTTATTGCAAACTAAATAAACAGCTCTTCAGTGGGGAAATGATCCTAACAGACTGTTTGGGTTGTATTTAAGTCTACAAAAAGAAAAAAAAGGCAGAAAAATGTTTCATTGATGTCTATTACTTTTTCATTCTAGTCTCAAGGTAAATCTGAGCTACATGTGGAATTATTCTTCGAATACGCCAAGTAACTAATTTTTAACAACTAGGTAAACTCTGCAAGACTACGAGGCTTAATTGAAGGGACATTATATATTACACATGACTTATAACATACCAAAAGACCTTTGAGCTCCATTCTAGAGGGATACTATCTACGACTTCCCTGATTAAATCTAGCTACATCTACCTCGCCAGCTAGTATGCTTAAAAAAGCATGGCACTGAAGAGAAAATGTTATTCCAGATCTGTTAATGTCCTGCAGAACCTGGTCCCTTCCTATCTTTTCCATCTCCTTAGAGCTTACTCTTGCCTTCACATGCTCTGCCACACAGGAACACTGGCTTCCTGGCTGCTTCTTGCTCATGACACATCATTTCCAGACCCGGGGCATTTTTGTTGTCTATTCCTCATGCTTTCTCCCTCCTCCTCTCCACAGCCTGGCTTTCTTGGCTTTCTTCAAGTCTTAGCTAAGTTTCTACCTTCTGTAAGAAGCCTTTCCTTGTCTTCCTTAATCCTAATCATTTTCCCCAATTCAAGGTGTCTATAGTTTCTTTGCACACAATTACTCACATACTGTCTCCCCCATTTGACTGTGAGCCCCTTGAGAGTTGGGGCTGTTGTTACCTTTCTTTGCATTCCCACTTAATTTAGCCTGTGTCTGGCACATAATAGGCACTTAACAAATGCCAGTTGTCTAAGTTTCTTTGACAATGACATTTATGCTACCTGTTTTTTCTGTCTGTACACATCAGGGGCAATATGATCTGGATGACAACTAGTTACTATCCTCAAGAGGAAACGGAAAGACCAATTACTCTCTACTTACTTTCCCACAGAGTTCCATCTGGAGGAGGTCTGACATGAGAATTTGCCTAAAGTTATTTGTAAATATTGCCTGAGTCAACATATGATTTAGGAAAAGATTTATATTATATTAATAAAAGTACCAAAGAAACCTTCTGTGATATACATACACCAAAGGCAGTATCAACTTGATAACAGAATCAATGACATACCTTACATTTCAGTCAATCAGCTTTAGAAAAATGGAGGGAGAGAACTTCAAGGACAGACTCAATGTCACAGAAGAGTTTCCTTTTTTGGAAAAACTGTAACACCGTACCTTTTAGATCGTTTCTCTCTTGGATCTCTATAAATCTCATGGACGCCAACAACTGCTCCTGTAGATCCAGTGTAAGAGTTCGGTCCTTTTGCAAATGAACACAAGAGATAAATAAACACATATATGGGCAGGATTGAGAAGTATACACTATTGCCACAAAAAAAAAAAATCTATTTTTATAATAAAGATGCAATGCCTCAGAGATAACCAGATTTTGGAATTACTGAACAAAAAATAGGCCCCCAGACATGGCCCATTTGAATAGTCCATTGAACGTGATTTGCAGGTTTATATATTCTGGTGATGTAAACAATCCAAGTACTTACTATACCCAAAGAGTTCTCTTAAAAATTAATTTTGCTGATTTGTGAGAAGCAACCTCATGTATTTATAATTGTGCTATTAAGTGCAGGCCACCAAGTTCTTAATAGTTACACCTGTAAAGGACTTTGAGCTCTTCAAGTAAAGAAAAATATAGAATGTATGTAAATATTATTCACTCTACACATACGTAAATTAAAAAAAAAAAATTTATGTGTGACTTTTCCTAAAAGTTATTTAATGGGAAATCAACAAAAGGTAATAGATGTCCCTGATTGACAAGAATTTTCTTCATATATCTATCCATAGGTTAAAAAAAAAAATAGAAAACCTGTTTAAATATTGTGACCTCAAATTTCTCATTTCACAATATTACAAGTATGTTTTAAAAGACATTTAATAACAGTGGCCTTATAAAGTACTTTTATACAAAATTAACTAGGTAATATATGTGTTATGTGTATGTATATATACACATATATATATACATATACCTGTGTGTGTGTTGTGTGTGCAGCCCAACAAAACTATTCAATATGAGAACTACATTTTAAAGAAAACAATGACAAGGCAAAATAAAACTCCTGCATAATTGGCATACTAGAGATATCTAGCATTAACCATAAAGGGTATGAAATACCAGATTCAATATCACCAAATTTTTCTTATTTTTGTCAATTAAATGTATTGGATGTGCACAAAAATGGAGAAATTTTAATATGCACCTCCTACTTAAAAATAAAAGACTGGTTTGCCAGAACACTCATTGGTTATTCTGATCCAATGTATTTTAGAGAGGGAAAAATTCAGTTCTTCCGTTAATACCAGCTTTTCAGCACTGCATCTTTATTTCTGATTTAGTTCAGTTCACTTAGAATTACTGTGTAGCAAACCATCCTCATCAAAGACCCAAAAGACTAAACACTGACTCAATCCAATTAGAAATACTATATTTTCAAAGCCAATTAAGGTCAAGTATCTCATATTTCAACAAGTGTTAGGAATACCATGCCAATATCACCTTTCCAACTTGTTTCAACTAAGTAACTTCTTTTTCAGAATATTGTGTTATATCTTGTGGGCCTTGATTGAGAAACAATGTTGGTTTCTTCCACTGATAGAAATGTCAATTCTTCAATATGTTCACCTTCCATGTTAATAACAACACATTTCATGTTCTAAGTTGAACATACAAAGTGATTATGTATTTGGCATGAATCAATTTATACAGCTAATAATCACAATTTAATAAAATCAGAAGTTCTCAGTTAGAATCCCTCTTTGCATCCTCATTCTGCAAACTATCCAGTGGAAGGAATCAAGTACGAGCAGAAGCGTGCATTGGCAAAGTGAGCGCAAATAACAGACAAGACAGTTGCAGAGATCTGCACTATGACAGTATTAGTGAAATGGAGAGGTGACAAGGTGGGTGCACCAGGCATTCTGCAATTGGGGCAAGCAACTGTACTTTACGAAGGGAGTCTTCAGAGAAGCTCGAGCAATCAGATGCAGGTCATAACCTGCTCCTATGTGATATTTTAAGTGTGAAATAAAATAAGGATTAGTGGTATGACTAAAAGCTAAGAGGATTAAAAGGAGAAATCTAACTACAATATTCCTTAAGTGGTACCAAAACTCCAAATTAATCTGGGGTGTTAATAGTCACAATTTTGTTTGTAATTTGATGAATCTAGTGTTATTTAAAATACCATTTGTGTGTGTGTGCCCCGCCCCTCTCTAATGTGCATATATATATGTGTGTGTGTGTATATATATATCTCTATATATATAAATGCTATGTTAAGAATTTTAAAAATCCAGAAGGAAATTTGTTTTAAATACTTTAAATACCTGCAAACTGATTTTGATTGCATTTTGAATACTCAGGTAGGATCCAAATACCAATCTGAAAAACTGAGGATGAATTTGTCCAAGACTGATTTACAATAGTAGAAGCCACAGTTATAGAGAATTAAATAAGCTATGTCTGAGATAATTAAAAACGGAAATATATTTCTTAATTTTGAAGTTAATTCTTTGGCTTCATAAGAGTCTTCATATTGAGTCCCAATGCATTATGGTGTTCAAAAAAATCTCATGAAACTTATTGAACACATGAAAAATTCTTTATATTTAAGAAAATTTATCAGAATCCCTATTTGCTTTAGGTAGTAAAACCAGACTAAACAGCTGATGGCTGAATCCTTCAGACTGAAGTTCTATTTTGAATACAAAACATTTAAAATTTTCTTCTAAACTTTGTACTTGTGTGTGTAAGAGCTTCCACGTCTTGGTACTGTCAGAAGTATCGTAGTGATCTACAGTTAACTACAAGTGTTATAATAAATGCAACTACATCTCTAGTAAGATCGTGTGATAATTGATGTCACACACTAAGAATAAAAAGATACAACTGAGAAAAGAGACAAGTTAAGGAAGAGATGAGTTGAAAGAAAAACATTTCGATGAAGAAGAGGTTTCCTGACCCCCCTGTCATGAAGTAGTCTGCATCAGTGTTGGGATAGGCTACTTTTTACCTAGCTAACAAAGTACTCTCTCCCTATGCCGAGGAAATCCTAAGGCACTGTTACGCACCAGTTTTCAAAAGCAGGCAAGTCACTTGTAGGCCAAATGCATCTGGCATTTCATCCAGAATGAGGACTCCTTCTACCTTGAGTTAACTAATGAAAAGCTTAATACAAATGCCTGCAATACTGGCAAACAGAAAGTGTACTTTATGTCACCAAAATGCATGAAAAAGGTGCTCATTTTACCAAATATCAGGATTATTTAAAGAGGGAGAGAATGAAAGCCAAGACCAACAGTACTTCAAACAGATTATGGAGTAATTGAGAAGGACTGATTGTTTTCCTTTGATCAAAGATGTGAATTTTTAAAGTATAAAAGGAATTGGATAGAACTGAAACATTTACAAAAAAGAAAATTCACACAGACATTACATTTGAAGTTACAGGGAGATCACCATGCTGATTCCAGTGATCAGGTGAAATCAAAATCACAAAATAAGTGATCATCTAAATCTACATTATCACAGTGGGAAGTATGCAGAGAGATTCCAAATATATAGAAAGGAAGAAGATTGGATTTTTCAGTCTTATTTCTTATCTCTACCTGTTGAGCTGCTGGGATGGTAGAAACTTGGTTTTTTTGGTGGGGGAGGGGGCTGGGCTGTTTTGTAAGCAGTACTGTTGGCATTGACCGAGGGTGGCTGGAATGAGTTGGAAAGATAGATGCCATCGGACACTGGGCGCGGCTGACAGGAGGGCTGCTGTGGCTTAAGGGCGGCAGGAGGGAAGTCCCCATAAGATTTTCTCGTGCAGGAGTACTTATCCTGACCTGCTAGACTGGAGTTCTCCTCCTCCTCCTCCTCCTCCTCCTCACTGTACGCAACAAACTTGGCAGTGTATACCGTGTCAGGGGAGAGGACCTGTGTTTTGAGGTAAGAGGTGTTTCGTTGAGGTGGGGGAGGAGGAGCATTAGACGAAAGGGGTAGGGGTGGGAGTTCATAGTCCCGTGGAAGTGGCGGTCTGTACAGACCAGGCTCGTCAGGCTCCAGCAGCCTCCGCTCTGCCTCGTCATGCTGTCGGCGCCTTTCAGCTTCCAAACGGTTGTAATACCCTTCCTCCTGTCGCCTCTGCAGGCGGGAATAAACAAAGGTGAAAAGGTCAGACAAGGAAGAAACATGAAGTGGACCCAACTATGGCCTCACAGGGGATTTTTTTAAACCATTCAAACCCATTCTACAACCAAGCTGAATCCATTTAATAATGTAAAACAACATATCAATTATAAAAATGTTCAGATCATCCTGGAGATCTTGTTCTCTGAAATATCACAGAGCTTTTGCATTTCTGGTTTAGTTATAATGTTGCCTAAAAGGATGGGAAGGACTGGAAGACCCATCACAGTTACTTCTACCCCAGTCTATGATTACTCCATCACTCTTGTTTTTCAATTCATTTGCAAGAGACCATTTTAAACTAAAGCATAAATATTAACTTACCTGCTGTTGTAAATACTTAAAAAAAAAAAAACAAAACCCAAACAACCTAGGGAAAAAGCCCCATAGATAGGCTATACAGTTAGGGTTCTAATAAATGACATTTTAGGAGGTATTGACTTCTAAGCTATTTTTATAAGATATTTTCCATGAAGCCCAAGTAAATTCAGATTTATAACTATTCTCTGGAAATACATTTCTTAAAACTTAATCATCTAGCTTACCTCCTGTTTTTCAAAGGGTATTTAATAGAAAAATGTCAAGGTATAATGCCCCCCAAGTAAGCAACACATGTTTTTCACAGTTCTTAACTCATATTTCAAAACTTAACATACTCCCTAATAGACAGACAATGAAAGTCAGGCATTAATAGCAACAGGAACAAGAAATTTGAATATGTTGACACACGATACATTTTTTTTGACGTACATCTGCACAGACTGTAATTGACAGTGTGTGGTAATGAAATTAGCTATTTTCACAATTAAAAATATTAATAGCACATTTTCTTAAAGATTGACAAAAGCTTCAAAGAAGACAAGTGAAGGTGAAATAGGGAAGGTGTGTTTAGATTATTTTTGAAATAAAAGTTGTATCCTTAGCTTGGAAAACTTTTCAGTACTAAATACTGGAAAACAAACACTTTTCAAACTCATTTTCACCAAAGCCTCCTAAGTTTTGGGGTTCCTTTGGCATGAGAATAAAATTTATAGCTCCACTTTTCATCTTTTGCCTGTTTCTTCTCCTTTAGTGGCATAGAACAATGCTTCACCTTCTAAACATTTTTAAGTTCTGGATAAATTATCTGTCAATCTCTGATGCTCCCTTTAATACAACATCTTTTCCTCATTCCTAACAAGCAACAGTTATCTTCAGGAGCTAACAGATTCATGTTGAGGAAATAATGCAAAGATATTTTATCTTATCCTCATATGGCAAAATATTCCTAGAGAAATCATCACATTCAATGTCATACCTATACATGTTAAGGAATCACTAAGAATCCTAATAAATTAGTTTGCTACCTGCCAATGCTATGAAGACAGGCTGTTCCCACAACATTCGAAGGGGAACTCAGTAAGTATTCACTAGCTGCCATCTTTTACTTAATTAAGATGCAGGTAAATTTCTAGAAGAATTCCAGATAGTTTTTGAGATACAATATCTCACGAGCAGATATAATTGCATGACACAAAGAAACTTTATTCTAACCGACAAATAACAATCTTCTTCTATAACAAAGCAAAGCCATTGATTTTGGACAACTTCAGCATAACATACTTCCAACTCCCAGTTTCACTGACCCATCATCAAATGTAGCAGTAGTTGCTAAAATACAATTGCAGTCAACATATTTAGGGAAGTTTGAGGATGCATATTCAAAAATCAAAGACAAACTCTTGCTCAACATAATCTGTCCTAATGCTTCCTCTCTGATTGTGTAATATTCTGATGCTAAAACTACAGACTATCTTTTGGCAAATCTCTAGACTATTACAACTTTGTACCTAAAGCAGATGAAGCTCCTGGTAGTTGTACAGGTTTTATTGAAGCTTTTTTTTTGAGTCTTGAAGAATACAAGATAGTCGAGTTAGCACTGAACTGAAAAAGTTCAATCCTTTAAACAGCCAGAAAAGGGAATTCCACAGATCAGCATAAGACCACGAAATATCCAGAATGCTGACTGGTTCTGGTTTTGTAAGTCTGAATTCCTTTGGTCTGTAGTTCTTACAATAACCATCAATTTCCATTTATGCATATAAATTGATTATAGTAAGAACTAGTCTTGAATGCTTGATCTCTTTGAGAATATCCCACAAGCTGTTTGGATCCACTGCAAAGCATTTATCATAAATGTTAAGAGAGAGTAAATAAAGGCTATAACAGACATTTATCATCTATTTCAATATACAAGTATGGTTCCTTACAGTATTTTCTCCAGCTCTCTTTTAAATGAATGTTCCAATGACTATTTTTTGACTGCTTCATGTTTTGTGAGATTCCATTTTGACAAAATATTTCCTGAGAATTACTTTATTTTGTACTTCCTACTAATATACTTCATTGTACTAATGAAGAAATGGTGAATGATCATAGATACTGAGTTTTCCCCAAATGAAGTTGTGAGAATCAGAGGCTTCTTAAAAGGAAAGAGACAAAGAAAACAGCTTCTCCAAAATCACATACAGCAACAAGCAGTGACCTCAGAACAAACCAAACAGTGCAAAATGTTGTGGGGTTAGAATTTCTCTTATATCAAAGGGCCTCAGCAAAAGGAAGAGATACTTAACATTTTAATATTAAGCTCACTCATAAGAGCACAAGATGCAAAGAAACCAAGATCTGGACAATGTAAGATTCCCATTTCCTGAGAATATCTGCTAAAATTCTTTGCTACTTCAAAACGTAATTCAAAGGAAAATGAACAGCTAACATTTGGAAATCAACAAATATTTTTTTTTTGAGCAGACTAAGCAGGTTAACATTCTAAAATTAAATCTTCCTCTTTCAATGTTCTGTAAGTCATTGTTCTGTTTTGAATAGAATAAGATCTCCAGCATTAAGATTGAGTTAACTTAGTAAATTAAACTTTTTCATGTTCAATAAATAAAAATGAACAAATATCACCATAACAACAACATGCTACTTAGTGTCAGATATGGGTTACAAGCCCAGGTTAAATGGATTCTTTAGACAGAGGCCCCTTGCTGAACAGATCAAGTATTGGAGTTCAAGTGCTTGAGAGAGATAAAGGAGCTTGGAGACAAAGTTCAGAAGAGAGGTAGGTGGAGCCAGACTGGGTTAAAGTTTTTGGTCCAATAATAAAAGTTGGGGATCCAGGCCCTGTTTCTGTCATGTGCATCTTAGGGATATGTAATTTCTATCTCCCTGCGCCCAAGCCAAACATTTATGTTTGGGCTAAGTTGATAATTTCTAGCCGCCCTCAGAGGACCATAACCTTTTCTTCAGCATCTCGCTTTGCTCGCTCCTCCTCTTGGCGCCGACGATCTTCTTCCTGTCTGGCCCTGTCTTCTGCTTCCCGTTTACGTATCTCTTCCAACTGTTGCTGCCGTCTGCGTTCTTCATCCTGTAACTAACAAAGATTTGACTTCAATCTGTGTGAAACCAACTGCTTCAGGACAAGATACAAGCAGCCCATAATTAAGACATATCACATATAGACAAAAAAGTCGGAAACAACACACCAGATTAGTATCAGTGAGGCAGGATAGCAGCATTAAATAATTTTGGATAATTTCAAATAATGCTTGAGACTTTATCCTCATAATCACAACTATAATTTTGCCAATAGAAAAATCAATAGCAGTGAGGAAGAAAATTATAAAACATTTAATATTGCATCAAACAAGTACTCAAGGGGTTAAAAAATGACTTCCCCAAGCTCACATCAAGCTAGGTATTATAGAGCTTAGATCAGGAAATAAGCTGCATGACTTCTACTCTAATGGCCTAAATACTGATGCTCTTCAGCATTTCATTACTGAATATAGGGTGTCTCGAAAATCTTTTGGGATCTCGATTTTTTTTTATTTATAAGAAATTATGCAAGAATCTAAAAATAGACTGTAATTTAAAAATTTTAAGTGGTATGGTGTACCAGAAAAACAGCAACAACAACAAATTTAGAATAAGAAGTCTTTGTAAGCTAAGCCTAGTCCCTTAATAGGTGGCATGACCACAGGCAGCTCATGTGGCCTCTCTGGATCCGTTTCCTTCTCTGTAAAATGAGGGAGGGAGTTGGGCTAAAAATCTCTAAAGTCCCTTTTACCTTTAAAACACTATGATCTTAGGATAACTTCACTGAAGTCTTATTACATACACCTATGTATATATATACTATACATGTTGCTTTCCAATCTCATAAAACAGATTTTAAATGCCCAAAGAAGCATGCTATTTTGCAAACTCAACATATGATGGGAAATCAAATAAATTTTTTTCTATTACTATTTAAACACTTACAAATATTTTGTCAAATGGCAAATTGGTTTATATTAAGAGATCCACATAAATTAAGACAAATGTGAATATAGGTGTCCTTCACTATGGAATGCATGCATTTTCACAAAGTGTGATAGAGATCAATCTCTATTTGGAGTCAAGTATGTGGATATATACACTCATAGAATAGATTTCTAAAAATATGTTGTGAGGGGCAGAGCTGCTATCTGGAGCAAATTTACCTTCTTTTTGTAGCACTTTTCCAGCTTTGTGATCACACCCTCTGCCACAAATGTCTTTTTAATAACAATTTAATACCTATAAAGTTCAGTCTTCATATTCTCCAGAAGAAATTTTTAAAGAATTTTGGTCTCCTCCCTTTAAAGATTAGCTTAGGCATAGCCAACAGATGACTTAATTCAGGATTACACTTCCTTGAACTTGAAGCTTCAGAATATATGAAATACATTAACTTTTTTTAATGCACACATACACAGTTAAAAATGATGCCAATATTTACAGGAAAATAGATATAGAAGTTAAAGGGACTTTCAAGGTCATCTGGTCCAAATCTCTTTTTAACAGCTAAGGAAACAGCTCCAGAAAGGTTAAAAGATAAGTAAACCTACTCTCATTTTTGCAACAAGTTTGCAGAGATACTTAGATATGGCCGTTTAATTTAATTCTGTATTAAACCTGACATGTGGTATCTGATCACTTGGTTCTGTTATACTAAAATATATACATCTTCAAATATTGTTCAATTATTAGATTACAGAAACAGCAAGAAGAAAAATCTTCACTTTAATTTCAACAGAGTGAAGAAATTTAAGAAGATGTAAAGTTGTTGGCATTAAAGTGAGCATACTATTGGTTTAATAGTCCTTTTAATGGTAGTGAAGTTCTGCTATCTAGTGAAACACTATAATGCTAAAACTGCCATTAAACTATCAGTTAGTTATTAATGAAATTGTTAATAAAAATTTAAATTTCAACTCCTAGATATGTAGTATGAGAAAAAAAAATCTTCCCCTTCATACTTTACTGCGATCTGGCTGAAAATACTTTAAAAAGGAGAGTAATAAATTAACCTTTAACACAACATTTTTTACATTTTAATTCTCTAACATATCATGGTGATGTGGGAGTTTCCATCAATGATGCAGATTAAAACCTATCCACTCCTACATATTCTATGTGACACTTTCCATTTCTTCCCCCCAGATTCATCACAGGGTATTCAACCAAAATGTTGAAGTCATTCCTCAATTGCCCTTGAATATCAGTAACACCTCATTCTAGTATCAGCAATAATAAAAACAATCTTGTTGAAAACACTGAATTAAATTATTATGCCTTTTCCGAATCCCAGACAAAAACGAATATCTAACAGAGTTGATGACAATAGCTCATGCCTCAGTGTTAGCTAAACACGGACCTAAAACTATTAAGAAAATTGACTTTTCAGTTCTTATAACGTGAGTATGTGATTAAGCATTGTTAAAAATCGAAAGAAGGCAGAATGATTAGTAACCTTGGTCTTTGGGACTGAAATAGAGAAGATAAGTATCTGTATCAAAAAGGCTAGGTGAATATGGTAACTTTTATGAGGAACTTTATCCTTCAAGAAAACAGCATGGAAATCCTAAATAAAAGAAAATTGCTACATCGGTCATCAGTGGTATTAAAAATGCAGGAAAAAGAGGGAATTATGGGAAAAATGAAAATAAGGGTTCCATTATTAAAATATTATTGTAATTGTTCCTATGAGAATATCTAGAGATATTACATAATGGAGATCAAGTTCATTTTTTCTTTTTTGTAGGCAATGTGGTTAAGTGACTTGCCCAAGGTCACACAGCCAGTTAAGTGTCAATTGTCTGAGGTCACATTTGAACTCAGGTCCTCCTGACTCCAGGGCCAGCGCTCTATATACTGCGTCACCTACCTGCCCCCAAGATCATTTTAAAAATCATAGTTTATTTTTCAATGAAGAATAAAAGTCATACTGGTATTTTCGATCAGGTAGCAAGCATATTCTTTGCCATTTAACCAGTCTCTAGGTGATATATTATTAAAAAGAATTTTTTAGCTCAAAATATACATCTGTTTCTGACACTAGCCTTGAATACTCAATTTGATTGTTGGGGCTGGTTGGGGAGGGGAGAAGAAAGATGTGCGTAGGTCCTGTGATTTCATTAGCACAGTGAATTCCCAGTGTAGAGACTCTTTCCACCAAAGCATATCAGCAACTTGTCTACAAATTATAGCCTTCTTATTGTCTGGGACACTGAGAAGCTAAGTCACTTTTCCATGATTATAACAGGCAAGTTCTTTTTGCAAGAAAAGGTATTTTTTAGGTCTTTAATCTAAATAAATCATCTTTTATATAAATGGTATCAAATTCCAATAGAAACAACAGCCACTAAACCATACATAAAGATCCCTGTGGGCTGCATCATGACTTAGAAAACCACACATTAATATTATCTATGTCCTATTGCATTGTAATTTATCTTATTAAATATTTTCCAATTACATTTTAATTTGGATCAGCTCACACTCAGGAGTGCTGCCTTACATCACAGCTAAGGTTTGAAGTTGGAAAGAAGTGCGGAGAAGACAAGGCTTCCTTTTTTTCCATGTGAATATTGGTGCCTCATAGATTTTAAGAGATTAATACTGAAAAGTTTATTTTGTCATAAGCAACACATTAACTATGAGGCACAAATCTTCAGTACATCAGGCTGGGAAACTTTATTGTTCTCTTCTTAACCCAAGAGAGCCAAGAGAGAAGAAAACTGGCCAACAGCACCAAACTAATCTTGAATACTACATCACTATGAGGAAACATAATTTTTGTTCTTATGATCTGGCTCTAGAAAAACCTCAATGAACATTAAGCAAGACTATGTATTTAAAATGGTAAAAAATTTTTTCTGTTACTGGCCATTTACTGTTACTTAAATTTTGTTGAACAGTTCATTATTCATGGATTTTTCTTCCATTTAAGAGAGTTGAGTAATGAATTTTTCTGTCAGGGTGCTCTTTGCTTCTCTTTTCCAAGCAAATATTTTTATTGCCTGAAAGCATCATTTTCCTTCATTTTAATGTCATATTTAGTGTCATTCTTTTTGGTAATGTGAAAAACTGGCTTTGGGAACCATCAGTTTATAGAATATAAAGGTCAAGAGATGGTTACTAAGCTATTTTTATTAATTTCAAAATTTTTAAAAAGTTCCAGGTATGAGAAAGCCAGTGAAGTATACATAAAAGTTATGAATCACAAAATGCTATCCATAAACTAGCACTGTCAATTTGTTCTTATAACTAATTCTGGTGCAGTTTTATGAAACAAAAACCAAATTTGTAATTCTCACAATGAGTACAGATTAAAAAATGGTATTGACAAATGTTCATAAATAGGAAAATACTTGCTCTTTACCAATAGCTTTCATTTTTTCTAATTGGAATAACATTTTGTAGTAGGCATCTTAACTTCATGTACTCTGTTCAGTAATGATTAAAAGCCTATTTAATTAAGATAAAGTGATTCTACTGAAGATTTTTTTTTGTCTTTATAATCCCTGAATTTATTCTTACCCTAAAACACATAGTCTTCACCCCTTCTGGAAAATTTAAAAAGCTTCCATGAGAAAAGTTAGTATCTCTTGATTTATCCCAATTGCCCAAAGGAAAACTTGGGATAATGAACGCAACTGAATGATTCGTGAGTGTCTATATCCCAACTATCTTTCAACTTAAACTAAGGATTGTGTATCTACTTAAACTACCTATTATATGTAAGAGATATCCAGTATCAAATTTCCTCAATCTTAATCAGTTTAAGGCATAGAATAAAATGAAATAAATATGATGAAACTACTTACAATATAAAGGATAAAACCAATAAATGAAAAAATCCTGTTTAGAATGATCAGGAAGAAAATAACCAGGCTTATGATTTCTAAATGGAACATATGAAAAGTTCCATGTTATTAAAATCATTTTCAGAATTGGTACCATTTTGAAAACTACCTTAGAAATAGCTCCTAATTAATCCTGCAGGGCCAATTAAGAATAAGAGGCAGTATGCTATAGATACTGGATCGAGTTAGCCTCAGGTTCAAG